TTCACACCTTGCTTGTATTGCTGCCCTCTGCTCACTCTATGGGATTTTTATCTGTTGGAGAACTGCTGCATCAACATTATCTTCCCTGAGGATACGCATCAGTCTGTCATGTTGGAATTTATCTAAAGCCTTCTCAATGTCAACAAAGAAACACAGAGAGAAACCCATTTGTACTAACGTACAATATCTCAGGTTTAGGATTGCTCACTTTATTCTGACTCCTGAACATAAAACGATTACAGGCTGACTTGTATCTTTTTTTCTCAGTGTATTGCTGTATATTCTATCAAGAAGTTAAATTTTTTTAAGGGCACAGTTTATCAAACTTATAGCTCGGTGTCATTCACTGTTTATGGCATTAGCAATTGCTATATAAGAATGAAGATTTTTGAAGCTTTCCTTCAAAGTATCCTGTGTGTAATTGGTTAGAAAGTTTAAGCTGCTTTGTTTTGAAATATTAAGTGGCTATGGCATTTCACCTGTAACGTCACTCTCCTCCAGTGCTCTTTCATGCTCTTTACTTTCTAGATTCTATGTCAGAATTATCAGACCCTGTCCATGAGTGTCTGTCCTCAGGTTTATGAGAAGAATAATTTTAAAGCTCTGTCCTGTATTCTTGCCTGTCTTTCCAGAATATTTTTTTTATGTGTAGCATACTTTGGTGGTTTTAATTTTCATATGACTTTTATTCTTCAGAAATTTCCTGGTGCTCTAAGTAGGGCTTCTTTGTGTTCCCTTGCACTTCTTCTGGTTTGCTGTGCAATTTTCTTAATTCCTTCTTTCTCCTATCTTTCTCTCATAGTTTCTATAATTTTCACAAGCCCTTCTGTAATCAGTTGTTAGCTTAGTGTTACATCTTTTCACCTCCCCCCACAATGAGGTGGTCTTATGTATCAGAGTTCTGAAATGCCTTCAGTTTTCCTCTGTTTTTCCTCTCTTCTACTCATTGACTCTTCCCTTTGAAGTCTATTCCTCATGTTTGTTCATTTCTATTTTGAATCTACCTACAAAAATTTGAAATATTTTCTATTTAACATTCTTTCAAGCTTAACCTCAGCTAGAGAATCTGTTGATTCTCACATGTAGAATGAAGTTTTGATATTGCAATGTATCTCATTTCCTGCAGGACCGGCTTTTGTGTTCAGCTGGGATGATGCTGAAACCAGAAATTCCAGATAACAGGATCATGTCTGTTTGCAAATTCAATCAACCTGTTTTCCCTTTTACTCTTAAAGACAAAGCCATGAATTCCCAGTTACACTATCCCTGCAACTGCTTTATATTCTAGCATTAGGACTAAGATCACATTCTCCCAGCCTTTCCTCTCTTTGCCTGCTTTCCCCCCAGTTCTTTATAAGAACCATTCCTTACATCTTCTTGGAAATCTTCCAAAGGGCATGAAAGATTAAAATACAGAGTCCAGATGGCAAGGTGTGTAATCATATGCAGATCACGTTCCCAAAGTACTAATGGCCAGGCTTTTTTTTTTTTTTTTTTAAATTTCTCCAAATCCTGCGTAATGTCACCTTAAAGTATCATATCATAAACATTTTGTAGTTCTATACACTTCATTTCACGGAGTTCCACACCAGTATGTTTTCAAGTGTTTGCTCTCCCCCAATGTTTCTGGAAGCCATCTGATTGTACAATTAATGTTTATACCTCATGTGGTAATCTTCAATTTAAGGGTGTCGTTCCCCCCCCCCCCCTCTTTTGGATATCTGATTTTACAGAAGGCAACCACTAACTCATATTCATTTCAACAGAAGGATGATTAACCCAGAATTAGTAAGTTAAAAATCATATAAGTAAGTAAATTAACATTTTCCTTAGATTTTCATATATCCTTGGAAGTGTCTAACAAGTTTCAGCACAAAAGGAATTTAAAAAACTTTTGCATAATTATGGAATTCCACTAGAAAAAAGGATATTAAGAAAGTTAAAGATGTAAATCAAAGAATTAAAGGAGAAGAAAATTCAGTGTTAAGATGTTTCATCTTATCCTCTAAATGACTCTAAAATTTTCTAGCACTGGTAAAACACCACCATTTCCTCTACTGTCATTCTCAGATACAGCTGAACCATTTCAACTGAAGCTTCCCAAATGATTCCGCTTGAGGCAGACACTCAAAAATCAATCTGAATGTTTTAAATTTGGCAAAGGTACAAGCATTTAAGAAGAGGATCTCATACCAGTAAATACTTGGCAATCTGAAGGAGGGGCATCCTTATTTGCCCAAGCTGTAACAACCTCCCTGATCAGGCCCAAGCAGCTGTTTCTGAGAAGCCGCTGCAAAGCACTGCAGCGTTGGCTGCACTTCACAGTACCAGGTAATGCAGGTTTTATGCACTGCTGTGAATAAAGCAATGGTGATTTTAATTATCAGAAAAATCTTCTTCCCTATCAGCAAAAATTAGTCTCTCAGCAGAGCTGGTGGAAGCTCTGCGCTTCACAAGACTGAGAACAAGACTAGACTGAGCGTGAGAAATCACACTGTAGGATGGGGTCTCAGTGGTCCCTGGTGTAACCATTTATTTAAATGGCGATACAAACCCTTCATTCAGAATTTATTTGGCCCAACAAAGAGGGAAAAATTCATGAGATGATTGACGTATAGCATTTGCATGATTACACACACATTTAAGAAATTCTTTCTGTGAAGGCTTTAAGAACATATATCAAAATGAGAAAGCTGTAAGCAGCATTGTTTATAGCAGAGTAGAAGCTCTAAAATGGTTTACTATAGCTTCCTAACAACCACTTGCTTTTAATCACTACCACATTAAAATACTGGGCAGGAAATGTCATTAGAATAAATTGGGAATTGATCGTGGAAATAAATAAATGGAATTAATTTGTTATTTGCAGATTTCCTCTGTGAAAAATACTGCTTGGCGAGATTATACCTCACACGTAAAAGGAATGCTGAAAAATGAGCTTGACAACGGTATGCAAGGTGCAGAATAAAAAATATGCAAGGAGGGAGTTTTGTCCACTAATTGAGAGTAGTGGATTGTAACAAAATTACTGGAGACTGGCACTCCTTGCATAAATCACTTGAAAAAACACCTCCAAACAAGGGCTTCTCAAGCTGATTTACCCTATCTGGATTTAATTTTGAAGTTTGCTGCATACCAGCTGAAGCATGCCTACAACAGAGTTCACAGGGGGAGTTGTCAGGGGTGACCTTTTAGTGATGCTGCTCTCTCTTGTGCCCCAACAGCAGCAGAGACAGCCCCAAAGCTGAGGAGAACCTGCTCCTGCAAGCGTTACGCTCTACGCTTCGGCCTCCTGCGGTTCACTCAACGCATGCACAGATGGGATGCCAACATGAAATCACCACGGAAAGTTTAAACGTTTAAAGAGAGCAATAAGAAAGTGATTAAAAGGGAAGCTGGATCTAAATCAAAACTCAGGAGGCCTCCCAGATCGCCTTGACGCAGCGTCTGGCACACACTGACCCCCCCCCCATCACAGATCATCATAGTTGACTGGGGATGATAAGTTTTGACATGTTATTTAAAATGTGGAACTGCCAGGGCAGCAGTTCTTATCTCATATTTTAAATTTTCAAGAAAAAAGAGTATCTCCATGACTTTATAATACAAGCAATAAACAATGGGCACATGAGTTTTCTCAGGTATTTTGATAGGAGCTGGAATGCTCACCTGTGTTAAGTGAGGGTAAGACACAACTTTTTCTGCTTCATACACTTGAGTTTCTGTATTTTAATACGCTTTTCTTCCTAACTGGAGAATCATAATTTTTATCAAAACAGTTATACTGTTTGGATTAAGCCTAACAGGGCCCTTCTGATTTTTTAATGTATTTTCTATGCTATAAACAACAACAAATAAACCTTCCAAAAATGGCTTACATAGACCTGGATTTGGCATTAATCTTTTATGGTGTGCTAAATTAAAAAAAAAAAAAAATCATCTTGTTATGTCATTCCAAAATTGCAAAGGCATTTTTGAATTTGGGAACTTGAATTGTCAGTTAAAAATAAGGATCATTTTGTTATTTTTGTGCAGTATATCACTTTGTTGATGCGGTTGGCAAATGTTCACACTTCCAGAATGCTTAGCATTTAGCTCAGTGACATAAGCATCACATATGAATTCCTATAATTACTTTTAGTTAAATTCTACTAGATAGCTTCCTTGCAGGCTTGAAATAGAGCAAAAACATAGTCCTTTTAGGGGAATGAAATGCAGAGGATGTATTTTGATTCTGATGACTTCCTAGGATGTTTCATTCAAGATGCAGTATGAAGATGGAGGAAGGTAGTTCACAAAGTTTTGACAGTGTATGGAGCAATCCATTCGGTACCTTTGTTTTAAATGTATGGGATGCAAATATAAATGCACCACAATATCCTCCATTCCAGCACTGCAGCTATAGTCACAGAATATTCCTTTTGGCTTGGTACGATTTACCTCTGTTTCATACTGAACGGTTTTTATGTTCCTAATCAATAAATTAGTTCAGTCATTTTAGTTGCAAATCCTTCTTTAAGGTTAACTACTGTGAAAGACAACAAATATTCAAGCATGCAGCATCATGTAGCACTGAATAATGTTTGCAGCTGGCACAGCCCAAACTAAGAGTTTCTATGGAGTATTTTTTAGTTTATCATGGAAATCTGTCTGTATCTATAGAAACTCTGACCATCTGCACATGAATGTGAATTCCATAACCTCCTCAGTATCTTTATTAGAAAAGCTGCAAAGAATTTACATTTTAAGGGCAAAGCAATCATTGTTAAGAGCTTCTCTTGCACTTCAGACACTGAGAGAGCAAACGTTAGTTAGGGAACACCAAGAGCTAACGGTGCAGTGAACCACAATAGGCTGCACGCAACAAAACCCAGATACGCTCTACGTGGCCTGCAGAAACATTACACATAGCATAACTGTGGTTATAGCCCTGAGTTAAAAGCATATAGAGCATGCTGATTTTGCAAAATTGAAAGAAAAACAAACAATAAGACATTTACCTTCCACATCAAGGCACCTAGGTGGGCTATCTGACCAGATAAGGTTATACATGCACTCAAGGAACTCTGCCCCTTCTAGTTTATATCCAGGAAAGCATTGGTAATACACCACTGTTCCTATGGGGAAGGAGGACTCGAACTCAGATATGTTAATGTAACTATGAGGAAGAACCAATGGCCTCAGGCAACCTGCAAATTAAGAAGAGGGAGGTATCTTTTATTATAAGGTGCTTATCTCAGTCATCTTCACACATTGTGGTTATAATTCCTTAATTGAGGAGTACAGTATCTTTCACCTTCTCTACTATGAATGGCATGCCTGCATGATCTCCCTCAGATATATATGCCTCATTATCCTGTTTCAAACCCTTTTGTCATTTAGCCCACATGCTTTGCTAGCATGAGATTCACTCTCAGCAAATCCAGGAAAGGTTTACTGAAAATGACAGCATTTTGTTTCACAAACATTCACTGGTTTAGCAGATGGCAGTTTCTTTTTGAGGTAACATCTTTAAAAAATAAAGATTGTCATTTATATAAACCATGAGTTTTATTCGTCCTCTTAAATCTGACAGGCATGTAAACCATCTTTAATATTAAAACTGCTCCTGTGACAAAGTGCACACAACTGTACAAGATTTGCAGACAGAAATAATGATTTTGCAATTCCAGTTTGAGAAAGTCTAAAGGGACGTGACTTCTATGAGCAGTCCCATGTTAAACACTGAACAGATTAGGTTATGAAAAAGTTAAGGTACCTGTTATCACCAGAAACTGTAAATGTAGTCAGACACTACATTCTACTCCTGGAATTACTACTGAGGGATTTGTACCGTGGATGGTACTGAGCTGTGACAGTTAAATGGTCACCAATCATACTTGGTGCAAGAAAGAGCAACGAATTAAATAGATGACATGACTTTATAACATATCATTCACACACATTCGAAGTCGTTTTTGAGCTGGTATTTAGATAAGAGTTTGTACTAGAGAAAAAAAATAATCCCTCATGGCCTTAGAAATGACCCTCTGGGTAATACTTAATCCTGTTGATTTTTTAATTTGCAGTAATGCGGAGGAAAGATGATTAGTAATCAGGGAATGAAAAACGATATTACAAAGTTATGAGACTAATAGGAGCTGCATTATTGCAATCCATAAATAGGTCTCTTGCCACTACTAGGAATTTGTGAAGGATGTTCATAGGACTCTCATAATTTTAAGCCTGAGGGGGAAACTAAAATCAGTCTAAGAACTTCTTGTAAGACACCAGTATCTGAAAGAAAAACTCTCAGCAGCACTTCCAAGTGGTTATTTCCTTGCAATGGTCTTTTGAGGGAGAGGGACAAAAGCAAAAGAAAACAACAGAAAAAGCTTCAAAGCTTTTTACAGCACACTGTACTACCAGAGCAATGGTTTTGATAGCTGTTTTACTAGCTGGTTATCTCCTTGCTCAAATAAAGCTTCAAGCATCCTACCTATGGGCTACTGCTCGTACCCCTGATCAAGTATGCCCCACACGTAACACACTGGTTCCTGAAAACTGAGCAGCCCACTGAGCAGGACGATGTAAGCAGCCTCCAGTGGGACAGAAAGAGGGAGCGCAGACTGCCAGAGCAAGACCGAGCTTACTCTCCTCTGAACTGTATCAGGGAAAATTTTGACCTGCTGGCTCAGAATTTTAATGCTCATTGGGAGGAGGACAGAGATTTACTTGAATGTGTATGAGAGCCAACTGTTTGTGAAAATCCCTAGGTCTCCAAACACCGCAAGCTGCTTGAAAACTTCATTTTGACATTTTTTTGCTAAGTAATTCACATCATTCCAGATCAGTAATTATCATTATTATCTCGTGGCAAAAATAGTTTGAGGTTGGATTCTTATACGCTCCATGATCCTTTCCCACTGCTCTGCCAGAAAAAAGGCATCTTAGTGTCATGAGACTCCCCTGCCTGTTGTAATCAAACCATAGAAATGTAATTGACAGCCTACCTAGTGCAAGTAGATGAGTGCCTTCGATATTACTAGTGCCTGACATAGCAAAAAGAAAATTCTGGAGTCAATTTTGGAACAGGTTTATAGAATTTGGCAAAAAATGGCAGATACTTGAATCTGAATTGCCTATTCTCTACCTGTTTGGTAGTTACAGCACTTTACTCTTGTGCAATTGATTTCATAACTTTTATTAGCACTGCTTGTATTTTTAAAAGCAGTTCATATTGAATATTGAGTAGCAACAATTGATTGTGTTTCATGGTATAAACACAGCAACAAAAAAGTAGCAAGCCAAGGGGTACTTGGGGTACTTTTGCTTACCCAGTTAATACCGGCTCTCACAAAATTTCCACCTGGATCTTTGCCACTACAGTACCTACAAATTAATCTCATGAGCATGAATATCTCACCTAACTGCAAGAGTCTTAATGTACCTTAATTACATGTGAGGTGCACCCACTCCCAAAAATGGACTGTACACTTCATACTGCCACACCCCATGCCACTGTTGATTAGATACCCTGAAACTAGTGCCCGCTTTTTTACGGGTTTGTGAAAAATCCCCTTTTCTGTTGGCCTTCTTCAGATACACTGAGCTAGCCCTGTAATCAGCCTAAATTTCTACATGCCTGTGCCATAGTCGCTAACAAGACCCTGAGACACAGTTTGATGTGCCCCAAGCTGAGGGTCCTAGCCGTGGAGACCCATACACACTGACCTCCTGTAACTTCGGACTCTGGCGGTGCCCATCAATCTCATCACTTTACAGCAGAAATGCCAAGCCCTGACTTTTGTGTCTCAACCTGCCACCGTCACTCCTGAGAAGTGTCCCAGCTCCCCTGCCTGCCTGCGCCGACTCTGCAAATTGATGTGACAGTGTAAGTGCCTACATAGAACTGTCAACTTTAGGAGATGACAGATGGCTTTGAGGAAAGTTAGTACTAACCCAGTCTTCTCCTTAGCACAGATAGTTAAAATCTCTCGATGCTGTTCAGCTGGTCAAGCTTGTTACCAAGACATGAATTGGTTAAAACCAAGTCAATGGTACTAACACATGCGTGTTACAAAGGTAAAGGTAATAGCAGCCCAGGTTTATTGAATTTCCATTCACTAAAGCTGGCTTACCCCCAGCCATTTCTCGCAGTCCAAGCGAAGCTGGGATCCCATGCTATAATACTACTAGTTCTATGGCTAATGGCTTTTCTGGCCAAAATCATTCCTGTGCACACCCTGAATTTTCAGTCACTACCTATGGGTTTAATGGACCGTGAACCTGATTAACAACTCCGCTGAAAACTCCGATAGAACAGGTTCCAGCTTCTCTCCTCTACCCCTGCCCACTGCACAAGGCAAAGAAAGGTAAATTGCAGTCAGAAGCTTAAATCTTTCCAGAAATTAATAGGTGCAAAAATGTCAGTTGCCCATCAGATCTTTTGCTGAACTTCTGGCTCATTTAACCCTGACTTTTTTAAAAACGTAATGTATCTGTGTCAGATTTTAGACTAGCAAACAAAAAGCGCTATTTAAAGTAGTATTTTAAGTATGGGTATGTTCAGAAAGTGGCATCTGCTTTCCTGCAGAGAGCAATGGGGAAGAGAAATCAAAAAATCTTAGCAGCAGCGCTATTCAAATACTGTACAGTGGGAGTTATCAGGACACTGACATCCTTACAACTGTAGAAAAAAATATTGGCAAACTATCACAAGGTGCATGAGCTATAAAACAGGATGTGCTGGTGTACTAAACCTTGACAAATGGGCAGATTATCCCATGTTCCATCGTCTTGACATATGGAAACCATGTTGTCTAAGTCAGGGTAACGGATCTGGAATCCTTCATGACAGCTGATTATTAACTTATCGCCAGTCCTGTATGTCTTGTTATGAATCTCTGCATCTTCAACATGTGGAACAAGGCAATCTGTGACTTCATGAAAAAAAAAAATAGTAACTTAATTAAAAAAACATGGCTAGCTATTTGATAATCAAGCTTTTAAGCAAAAGTTAGCAGTTAATGTAAGTGCTCTGCTTAAACCGCTTGGAAAATACATGCATTTCAGTAAATACGTCCTTTCCCTAGTTAAGCATCAGTTACAAAGTCTACAGCACTGTAGGAGAAGCTGACATGCTACAATAAGGGATCATTCCCCCAGACTTCTTTAAACAAACAAAATCAAGAGTGTTTAGGAAGACTTTTTAATTTTGTGCTTCCACTCATCATGTGTGCAAATTACACAGCAGTCTGACTATCCCAAAGTCCCATGTGAAGGCAGACTCTTTGACAGCACTAAGGACAGGACAAAAGAAAAGATAAAATACAGATATGGCATGAGGAACACAGAAAAACTGCAGGTTTAGCAGAGAGACAGATGAAAATCAGGTACATTTACAAGGGTTTATCCAGCTCCATTCCACAGAGTTTGTTATGAGAATGTCTTCACTTTAATCTCGTTGATTCTGTTTTAAATCAGATAATTTTATGTGCCTGAATTCATATGCCTTTAGGGGGCGTGATTTTTAAGGCCCTGAGTAGCATCTCAAGTGCTTGTAGAAGACTCTCAACAATGCAAATGACTGCAAACCTCTAGTGCTATACAGGCATGGGCTCTACTACCTGTTGTGACACATGGATCGGACAGTCCACTATCTCATTGTATATACCAGTGCCAAAGACACCAAAATATAGAATAAAATCCAGAAGACTAAAAAATTCAGGATGTTGTGCAAAGTGGAAGGAAAGGGTGAGGCAGGGTAAAAATCCCTCTGCTAATACTGAATAATTAAGAGGCAAGCCAAGAGGATATGAAGGAATAGTCCAGGTGACTCAAAGTTCATCCTCCTCATAAATGAAAAGTGAGATTAAACAGAAGAGAGGAAGAGATTAAATACTGGGAAAATATAATCAGAATTATCTGTTTGTCTGCCAGCAGTCAATCCATGACAGAGATGGTGATAAAAGTTTCCAGGCATCAAAACCCACAAAGTGTTTCAAATAAAAGCAAGACAGTAAAAATATTATAAGCCTGTTTTATGCTGTTTTTTTTCCAACACTTCTACCACAGGAGACAATTATCTCCATTTAGGAATGCAGTATGTATAAAAAAAAAGGACATTTCAGAAGTCCCTTGAGACTTGCATAAAAGAGAAAGTTTCTGTCATTTTCACGGGTAATTCTCACTAAGAGGAAGAGGCAACTCTAAATTTGTATTTAGCAATTACTTGTGAGCATGCACAAAGTAAACCAATGGGAAGAGCTTGCTTGTTTGCCTGGAAGCACAACTAGAAGCAAGATAAACTGTTGTTTAGCACATGCAAACTACTAAGAGCCAATGTATTTCATAATGTATTTATTTATTTAGGCAAACTAGGGGATCTATTATTCTGAGACTCCATCACTAAATTTTAGTAACATGAAGTGGAAGAGTGTTGCTTCCCCAGTTAAAACATATTTTCCTTTGCACCTTCCCAATATAGGGATGCTTTCTAAAATACATTGTACTTAGCTAACTTTTAGTATGGGGCCTGGACATATTATCAGTCAAAAATTCTCCCATTTCTCTTGTTACTTTTAGCTCCGTGGGTGCTGCTGCAGGTACCTCCTGCTGCCTGTAAGAGGAAGGGCTGGCAGTCTGCCAGGCGGCCTGAGAACCCGCAGCAAGACGTTGTATTAGAATTTATTCATTTATAAAATGCCCGAGTCTGGGAGGATGCGTACCCTAACAGAAGGTCATAAAATGCACTGGGCTGAGGATGCAGACATCACCTTCAAAGACTGGACAATTTTCTCTCTCTCTCTCTCCCCCCCTCTGGCAAGTTAATGAGCAGAGGAGACAGCAGAGGATGCCCCACAAGAAATGCCTGACACTAAGCCTTGAATGCTGTCACGAAGAGGCTGCCCTGGGCACCCCCGAGGATGGGAGAAGATAGATGGGGATCCTGTTCCGCGGCCACGCAGCAGGAGGTCGGAGATGGATGCCAGAAGACAACGTTAGTGAACAGCTCACTCTCTTGGCATAACAGCTTCCTGTTGCTATACAAATAAAAGAGGTGTGTATACATACACTGCAGTAAAATATAAGATTTCACTTTCAAAGCGGGGGGAAATTGATTCTGTAACAGTGATCTATTACAGCGACTTCATCCCCATTATTCCAAGCAACAGCGATAGATAGAATCATTTTAATCGGCTGGATGTTGGCAGAGAGCAGTGACAAGTTGCTCACTGTACCATCCTTCGCCTGCGACATCCTGGCTGATTTTGATAACAGGCCTATTACAAGCCCCAACTAAACATGAGACCAATGGACCACAGTATTACAGCTCTTTTTCCTGATGTCTTGCGAGCAAATGCTTTCCCACTGGCTGAATTTGTATTGTTTAGCACTCAGTCAGGCATAAATTGCAGAAGCCGCCTCTCTGCAAACAACTGGATTAGCTGGCACAAATTCCGCTTGGAAAAGCTGAGAATAAGTGACCGGATTTTAAAATGTCCTGTCCTAGAAAATAAACTGCTTTATTCTAAATACTTTTCAGCAAATCTGTGGAAGCTGCTAAACCATTTAAGGGAATACACGGTCTTTAACCAGCATCGAACAGCAATGGCTATGACTTACACTCCTTTCTGGCAGTTTTACATGATCTGCTTAGATCTACCGTGTAAATATTAAAACGGGTCAGCCAAAAGAATGCCCTAGTTAGGAACACATTTCTTATCTTGCAGAGGCACAAAGAGGTGGGGTGCAGCTGGCAGGCCCGACAGCCTGCCAGGTGCAAGGGCTCATCTTGACCTAACTTTCATGAAGATGCAGCTTTGTACATTAGGAGTTCTTGGCTTTAGCAAACTAAGTGTGTCCCCCATCACAGGAAGATTGGTCTGAAGAGTAAAATTTGTTAAATGCTATAGTTATAGTGCTTTTGATTATGTGCAAACCATGCATCATCTCTTGGAACTGCTTCTTCCAGCCCATGGGGAAGGAGGACCACCGTCCCTCCTCCCAAGAGTACCTGGACCATAAAGGCAACTCAGGAGGAAGGCATGACCTGGACCCTATGGAGATAGCCACACCATCCATGGGTACCAGCTGGCTTGGCACGGCTTGTGTCTATTGCAGGTGAACTCTTACCCTCCAAAAATTGTCCCTGGTCCATGCTAATCCAGAAGGTATTTGTAGGAATTGCTTGCGGAGTCCTATTTGACATTGGCCACAACCATGCCAAGGACCTTTCTAACACTGTAACAGTACGTGCAATTGAAGAACAGTGTCCTGGCCCGTGCTCTGGCACTGTTTTGTTTACTAGTCTGTATGTAAACTCAAATGCAGAGGTCCAGTGCTCCTATGTATGTCCCTGTGGAGGGGTCTCTGAATTAGCCTTGACTACGTCTAGGCACAACACTGGCAGGCTGGAACGGAGAGGAACAGGGAGAAAGGATGAACGGAACATGACAAAGAATGGGTTGAATGCAGGGACAGCTCATCTGGACCCTGTACTCTTAAAAGTAAACATTTAAGATTGATATTGTCTCTTGTTTTTTACTAATGATAAATGAATAGTACTGTTTTAGTATGATAGTTCTGTGGATGGCTAACATAGTATTTCAGTGCTTATTAAATAACACCTTCTCTTTATTGTCTTTGCTTGTATTACAACAGTGCACAGAGACTTTGCCTAAGATCTGTGGCCATTGTGCTAGGCACAGGTTACAAACATCATATAGTGCTTGGAACCAGCTTTAAGGATTGACAAACACTGAGCAAGACAGATAAGAGATGGAGAAATAAAAACACTTCAGTCATCTCACAGATCCAGGGACAAAGGCAAAAAGAAATGAGTGCTAAATGTCATATAGGAAAACTGTAGCCAAACTATGTACTAGTCCACTACTTTTACTGCAGGTTTATCATCCCTGTCACTGGGACAATGAGGCACTGAGGACATCTTGAAGGTGTCTGCCTGCAGAAGCACTAGGACAGAAGGGTACAGCTCTCCGCTTGGTTGCCATCCCCATGTACACTGTAAATTAAATTCAATCTCATAGGAAAGAGGTAGCATTTGTTCCAAGCAGGGCAACAGTCTCAGCAGCCACATTATCACAGTGGGAGAAGATTAGATTAAAGTGTGAACAACATGACATATTGCTCTTAACAGTAAATACAAAATTCCTACCTTAGAGCTTTGGTATTTATGTGCATAACCATATTAGAATTGATGGAAGTTACAGTCACAACATGCTGTAGATCAACATGAGAACTTAACTCTAAGCACGCAGATTTTTGACAGGGCATTTATTGGGCACCTAGTCATGCAACTTCATTCTCATACTGACACTTAAGATCTGCCTCTTAATGAGAAATGACAGGCCTATAAAATCAAATTGATTGGATGAAGAGCTCCAGATGAATGTATTAGTTTTAAAATCAATTACATTCTGAAATGGGTTGCTTTGCTTCCTTTGGCAAATAGCATTTGTTTGTGATTAGAGATTGTTCTAGTAAACACATAATGACAATTAAATGTACATAACAGATAGACATAAAATTATATGTAACCATCCTTAGTTGAATCAAAACTTCTGAGATTAACTTAAAATGAACTGCAGGATGAGTGTTTTTACTGTTCAAGCTCAGCTGGCAATATCTGACATTTACATATAGTGGGATGAGAGGCAGGTATAGCACATGACAGCAAACATGGCAATCAGCCCCTGCCTTAAATGGGTAAATGCAATATAAAGTTCATTTTACCTTGTGATAGCTAATGATGAATGGTAAAACATTAACTTCTTACTTCTCCAGTTGTTGCTACAAATTTCAGATTTCTTTTTATATATCATTAAAGGATTTCTGCAATGAGGGCGTTTATGTATGTCATTAAACAGCTGAGAATTACAAAACCTGTTACAATTCCTCCTTAACTGCTCTCCAGATATGCCACATTCCTACACTACCCACCTCCCTATCGTGCTCCTCTCTCATGGTTCTGCTCCCAGTACACAGAAGAAGCACTCTAAAATGCACTTAAGCAAATGCTGAGGTCTCATGGATCGCCACTGAACCTTTGCTTAGTATTTCTTCTGAATCAGTGGTTGTACTGTGCATTGGAAAGAAGAACTAATTCTGTCATCTAATTTCTTTTTTTCCCCCTATTGCTAAACCCTAGGATTGTTTTAATAATACCTGAGGTATTATACTGTTAATCAGGAAAGTGCTTAAGCACTTGCTTCACTAAATCCTAAATCAGGGTCCTACTCTTCAGTCCAAATAATAAAAAGCATTTTTGCGTATGCCTAATTTTGAGCACAGAACTTTAACAAGACTAATCGCATAATTACAGTTATGCTCAAGCTTAAGCGCTTTGCTTGATCAGAGCATTGGCTTGCAATCCTTTTAAGTGTTCTGCGCTGTGAAGTAATGATCATCTCTTAAGCAACTGTTGTCACATCATCCATCACATTCTCATCTTTCAATTTCTTTCTTTGTTAAAAACACCTGGCTCAAATGTTGATCACACTGACATCAGTAGCAGTTTTGCTGTTGATGGCATTGTGATCAGAAACTTCCTCCACAGATTTCCACTGGACTGGGGGACCTGGGAAGAGGTTTGAAAATTCAATAAAACATGTTAATGGTTATTTTAACAACTGCAGTGGATGATACAGGTACTATTTCAAAGATGCACACCAAAATTCCTAGAAGCTACCTGCAGTGGTTAAGAAAAGAGATTTTCCAAGCATTATAGCTTTTTCTGGTCTTTGGAATACCCAGTTTAGACATATGCTGCTGTCACTCTACATGTATTTTTTCTTATCCATGAGATGAGAGACAAGGGCATTTATGAAAGGTGGCTGTAACAGGAGAGAGAGTGTGAATTTCATACATACGTTATTTTTAAAGGCATCAGGTTGTTTCTCTGAAACTGCCCAACGCCATCATTACGACCAGGTGTTATTGGCCCCCATTGCCTTTATGCTCTACACGTCAGCTGTCATCTCAGTGCATACCCCGAGACAGCTCAAGACTGTGTCCCTCACGGCTCTGTGGCCTGTGGTCTCACACATGTCCAGGAGTCCATATTTTACCAGGACCTCTCCTGCCAACAGGGCAGCTACCTGAAAGACCAGGGAGTACTTACCAGCTGCCTCTGGCTACTCTCTCCGATATCTCACGCACCACTTTCACTCAGACCACTGTTTAGGGCTTCACGTGTATCTCCTGAGCATCGTCCTCCCAGGCCTGGCTTGCTCCTGTTGTGGCACATCCCTTTGTGCACCCCTGTTCCGGCACGGGATTCTCATACCCACCCACCCATCAGCATAACCAAGTACTTGCAGTTTTCATACATGCTGAGTGATGCGTGATCCTATGTGGTAAGCGTGTTTATGAGCCACGTAAGTCTTTGACTACTTTTGAATGAAGTCCATATATTTATGTGATTTTAAATGATGTAAAGCATCCTGAAATAGAATTTATCTTGCTCCACCTTGAAGACAACGAGGCAATGGCTAATGACTTCAGTGGAGAAGCCACAACACTAAAATGTGCACGTTTGATTTAACTAACACTTTTCATGTCTGTTGATTTTAATAGCTCTGTTGACCAAAAATAAATAAAAAAAGAACAAGTTATAGCTTTAATATACTCAGTGAAATAAATTGTTTGTGCTGCTTGGATGTATTTTTGGCCAAAATTTACATCAAATTAATCCTGCCTCTATCCAACTCCTAGAAGAAGAAAGTAATTTAACGTCCTAATTATTTAAAACCAAATACAATTGCAAAAATGCAATATAATAAAATTAAATTGGTTTATGCCATAATAGGCTGAATTATCTCAAAGTAAACTTCTACTGTGACTTTCAACTTCTGCAGTCCAGGCGTATTTGATTTTCCTATGTGAACCATGCACTTGTCATAAAATAGTTATTTAAAACTCCTGATTATTAGCAGCACAAGCATTGGAAATTCGTCATATTTTCCTAGTAAGATATTACAGAAAGGAGTATTAAGTGGACAGCTTTAATAAATAGTTACAGTTTACTGATACTGGAGGTTGTTTTTTCTCTCTGCATCAATTTGTAACTAGGTAAAAGGAGAAATGTATTATCTTTTTTCCTTCAGATTTCTTTATGTCCCTTTCAACACATACGCATGCACACAAACACAAGCCTCTCGTGATATAAATTTAACTGACAAATGGGGATTATGGATGGGATGGATGGGAAACTAAAGTATGTATCAAATAAGACGCAGTCAAATGGATGCCAGTCTGCTGTGTTTTGTGCTGAGACACAGGAACATGGTACATGGACAAGTGAGAAGAGCTGACACTAGTGAAGTGCTTTAAGAAAACTGACTTACCTTCTTGTAGGCACACAGGTTTATCACTTGGTTTCCAGCTCAGAGAGCCATTAAAGTGTCTCACACAAAGTTTTTTTGAAGTACCATTAAGCCTGTATCCTTCTTGGCAATGAAACCGGACTACCACACTTTCAAAGAAAACACCTGCACTGGGTGTCTTGTATCCATGTTCAGGAGCTCCAGGATCAGCACATGCATGTAGGTCATCAAACCCTATGTCAGACAAAGATACAATCAAACGGTGTTCATTTACTGCTCATGTACCATAGTTGTGCTTTTTCTAGGTTTTTGCATTTGAGATTTAATTTTCATGGGGGCCTCACATCATCCATTAATGACCACTAGCAACCCTACTTGGGTACTGGGTACTCCAGACTCAGGAGAGGACCAACTTCCACATACAGCAGAAATACTCAGGTGACAGAAATAATCCCATCTTGTCGTGCAGCTACTGAGGAAGCGAAGTCAACCACACTCCTCAGTAGCTGACCTGTATAAAAATAAAGCACTTGACCCAACCTACCTGTGGGGATTGCACAGTAATGTATCTATAATTACTCTTGGGGACTATGGGATTTTGGAGGTCTGGTACAGTCACTGGAAAGAATAATAATGTGTCAGAAGCCGAGACGAAGAGGAAATAAAGAAAAGGGCATGAAGCCTAACTGCCATCCAAAGAAACAGTAACTAAAACAGAAGATGAGCTGCTAGGAACAGGGAGATTATGAGCTGGGAGGGACCTCTACCACAGGGAAAAGGGACACAGAATGTGTCCCTTTTGGATGTATGTGATCCCCCTATCATGTCGGCTTGGTGGCCCTACCAAATTTTTAAAACACTGTTATGGGAGCGCTGTATTACTGCATTAACACCAGAAGGGGGTTTGTAAAGCCCTTTACTTCCACAAAATTAACTGTAAAAAACAAACAAAAACCCAACAGTTGCAATCATAAAATGTGACTGTTTATCACTTTATCAAACTCATTTCAATGTCATTTGCATAAACTGAAGCTTTTTTTTACTGCAAAGCAACAAAGGTTTAGTGCAGCACTGAACAAGTACTGCATACTGAAAGAGCAAATAGCTTTGCAACAGGAACAGCAGGGGGGCAATTAATGCCGGTGGGAGGGATGCCTGGAAAATTTGAAAATCATCGCATTGTAGCTTTAATGTTTTGAGTTTAAAAGAATAGTACCAGAGAGGCTCAGCTACCTCCTGCATGATAAGCATGAAATGCCTCCGTGGTACAGTCAGAGAGAAGGAAGATATTACAGTAGAAGACTTTTCAAAATAAATCTCCATTTCCCCAGGCCAAATCACTCCCTCCACCAAAGGGCTCAGTGTGACGCTGTGGCAGCCAAATGGAGAACACTGAAGGTGGTAAAGGGCTCTTGCATTTCAACACTGAATTTCTCCTTTCAGTCCCCTGGCTGAAGGCTGCCAGTGGAGAAAAGAAGCAGCACACACCGAGCCACTGTGTTGTATGCCCAATTACCTGCCCCTGCTAACAGAGGCAGGGCACACCGTGGGGTCACCGCAGAGGATTGCATTTTCCTGACTCCATATACGCCTGGTTTTATGTGAGTCCAGGTCACTGCACTGAACTCCCCCACCAAGCTACAATTTCCAGGAGGTGACCTGGTGGCCAGAACCCAGCCTGAATAACTACGTGCCATGCGTGCCAGAGAGAGCCATTGCCCACACCCAGCCTCTGCCCCTCTGCAGTGCTCCAATACCCCGGGCACTTCACCTAAAGAGATTTCACTAGTGTCCCCTCTCTTTGCACTGCTGAAGCAGCACAAAAGCAGCAGAGCATCTGCTCTTATGCGGTTTTACTCCTCCGTCCAGTGATGTTTATTGTAAGAACTGAAGGGTCAGTGCAGCAGCCAAGTCAAACAAATCTCTGAACTTCACACCCACTCATCTGCTGCATGGCTCAAGACCTCCAGTGCAAATTGCCCAAGACTCTCTATCATTTGCCAACACGACAAACAAGGAGAAATACAGTCATTATGTTCATGGGATTACACACTGTAGGCGATACTTAATAATAGAGAAGGGCTGTCCATTTTTACTGGAGATTAAAAAGAAGCTTCTTACGCTTCAGGCAGCAAACCCACATCCTTCAATAAAGTCAGTGATGATCTTAATTATTTTCCATTAAACCAAGTGATAGCATGACATTTAGCTCAATTTTGTTACTTCAGTAATCTCAGAATTTGCTGTCAGGAAAGTAATATTATAACCCACCTTGAAATATGTGTCCTTTCTTACTAGCTGCAACAGGGAAAAGTACACAACTGCCTACTACTATGCCTCTGCAACAACAGAAAAAAGAAAGGTCACATACAATTTGCCTGGTAAAAAAATGAGCCAAGCTCATTTCTCAGTTTCCATTAAGTCGAATATGCAAAGTTAGAGATTTTGGGACCATCAGCACAAAACCCAACATCAAAGGCAAGAATGTTTTCTTCCCTGGTGCGGCCTCATTCTGTGACCCTACTGCCGCTTTTCTAGTGACCTTTCACAAGCAAAGATTTTTCATTCCTCCTAGGGATCGTTTTGTAGTAAGTTGGTCTCTTAGGTTCTTTTTCTCAAGTGCAGTCTGTGAGCAAACAAATCTATCCCCAAGAGGAATTCCCAAGAAGGAACTGGAACACAAATGGAAAAATTGAATTATGTACCCTCTAGTCTAGTTTATACAAAGCCAGTAGCCGGCTGTTACTCAGCTACTGAGTAAGAGATGACACATGGAATCAGCACAGGATCACTGCTTCCATGCAGCATTTCCACTGCTTGTTCCTGAAGCAAGGAAGAAGGAAAGAGCCTCCAGGAACAGCCAGTTAGGTGGATTACACATGCAACATGGTAACTTCTCGTGTTAAGATCATAAGGGCAAAGCAAACAAAACCCCATCTCCATCTTTTCTCGCATAGATATCAACAGTAGACGTGGCCCAAATCTTAGTCCTGCTAAACTCAAAGGAAATCACTTGTATGGCAAGCTTCTTTTTGAAGATGTGTATGATCCAGGCACAAAGCAGCAAAGCCAGAGCTGTGCCACCTCTTCCCGTGCTTTGGCTGAGAAGGAGGCAAAGACGTGTGCGAGGGAGGTATAGCGAGGCTGGGCACTGTGCTGAGGATTTCCTAGTGCACAGAGGGCACCACGGCTGTTTTGAAGGGGCCATTACAATCTAGAGAAGCCAGGAACTGCTCTGATTTTCACCAGGGTTGCTCCTCTCTTGCACAAGAGGTCTGCTGAGTATTTCAACAGCTTATTTAGCTGAGAGCTAAGTCCATCAGTCTTTTCCAATTTAAGTAAGAAACTTCTGCCACAATATTCAAGAACAACAATGCTGAAACATCCCTGAGAATTGCCATCTTCCAGTTGTCCTTAATGATATCAGACTTGGACCCTTTACATAATAATCCGTTTCATACAGTCTCCTCTAGTTAAGCTCCACCCTATCAAAAATGAGTAAATGCCTGTCTTCAAGAAATACAGCTTGGTAAATTAAGTCCTTTCTTCTCATGATCTTTAGTTTCTTTCCTTTTTCAAAGCTATGCATTTAAGAGCAGCTACTCAAAGTTGTGATAAAGTATTTTTACAATGGCAGAAGTAATCTAATGTTATAGATGGGACATCTTTTGCTTTGGTCCCTTTAGAACCTGATGAAACCAGCCAAAACAGTTTTCAGTCAGAGCCACAATATAAGTCTTTGGAAAGAACCGTAAAAGTTACATACATGGGAAAGCCAATCTTTTGGTTATAGTGGAAAGGCACTATCCTGCAGGAAAGAGTATATCAGATAAGATGAAAAATAACCTAGAACTACAATAGATTCTGTTTCTTTATAAAGCCTTCAACAAGTCTTTGGGGAAAAGAATGAAATTTTACTTTGACTACTGGACTTTTTCTCATGGTTACAAAGAGGGAAGGGGGAATCATCAGCACCTACTAGTAAAAACTATACAACACACTTGTCAAATAAAGCAGTAAATTTTCATGTTACCTATATAGTAAAAATTTAGTAAGGTCAGCAGCCACCATCACAATCAATGCTGCACCACTAGCAGCAACTTCATGGGATACTACTGTATGGCTTTAAATCCCTAAAGTAAAGACTACACAGTTATTGCTGGAATTGACTATTTCAGTAATCAAAATAGCTTAATATTTAGACTAAGTTGCAGACTTTCTGTATCATCTCCTTTAAGGGATGTTGTGTAAAATATAATGAACAATAATACCTTCTGATAAGGCTAATGAGTACATAAGGTCATCACCACCAGGAAAACATGCAGTTGCTACAGAATATATTTTGGTTGTGGTATTTACTGTATTTTGATTGCCGGACCAACAGGATGTCACCAGAAAATAGCAATGCTCTTAACCTGGATAAAACACAAGCAGTTTGCATGGGTTCCTATTTTACCTAAATTACTTGGTATTGTCAGTCAGATAAAAAAAGATGTCAAATTAATCAAAAGACTGAAAAATAAGCAATGCCTTCCTTGGGGTGTAAAATAAACCATTATAATTAATTTGAAAGGACTGTGTTTCTAGAATTCTGCATTATATCTTCTCAAACATCTAATGATTCATCTTGTCCCTGATGAAAAGCTTGAAATATCAGAAGCCAGGGGAAAATTACATATTTGTGAAAACAAGAAATCATGATAGCCCCAACGGAACTTCAGACATGCCTGAAAAAAGGCAGGAGGAAGAATCCCCCAGTTCTTCCTGTCATTCTCTATTTCTCCGCACCTTTTTCATCATTTCCTCTTTTGTTTTCCTTGTTTCCCTCTTCCCTCACCTCCATATCTTACTGCTTCTTGTAAATTCATGGTGCTGGCAAGGTGATTTCTAATCTAGATTTGATGGACTTCTTTGCCTCTAAACCTGCTATATAGCATTCCACTGACACACTGCTGATGCATGTTAGCTCAGAAATGGCTGCACTCACTCCTGAACAGAGACATCACACTCATTCCAGTTTGTTACATATACACAGTGAAGGAAAAGTGACACATAATGTGTAATAATATTAAAGATACAGAGTATTTTCAGTATTTGGCTTCAGTGGGATGGAGAATGGGCTTCTTGTACAGCAACACCTGCATTTGGGTTCACTAAATCAGCAAGTCCTTTCTATCTCAGTTGGGGGCAGAGGGAGGCAGAGGCTTTGCAGCCTGTGGCAGGACCAGACTGCC